CTTTTTCTTGCTACGTGTGCGTGTTCTTTAGATCCTCAGATGGCTCTAGCACTTTCGTGACCACGGGCCGAGAGTCTTTGCTAGATTTTGGCATTTAGCAACTGGCATACGGTTTAATGTGAAGTCAACAACAACAACAACAACATGGTAAATCGTGTCCAGATTGGACGTATCACTGAACAATTAGGCCAGCCAGCGGACGAGACATGCATGCGCGCTTCGGGAGAGGGGCGTGCCTTGGCTTGATCATGTTCGCTCCACAACCGACTCGCCATACTGCTGTGTTGCAGCAGTGCCCAGAAAGATTTACGCGTCCGAAGGCGGGGCAAAGCACGTGATGCATGCATGCTGCATCAAGTTTGGTCTTCCTTTCTATCGACTTTCAAGGCGGCAGTGGAAGGCAAACGGTACTGACTGACAAAATTCGCGACGAAAAGTTGGACGTGGTGCCCACCTGATTCTCCCCCCCGCGATGAATGCACCTGGCAGGTGTAGACAGTTGTAGTTTTTTCTGAGGTCTTGACGCGCGGCTTGGTGCTTGTTTCTGAACAAGGAGCTATTAATGTACTTAATGCTGCTACCACAAAAAATACCGACCTGCTGGCTGTAGATCGGAAAATGCGGGGCGGGTGCGGCATGATGTCATTTTTCATCGGAGCCGACGCTGAGGAACGCCAGCAGATATTCCTGGTACTGTCTCCCCTGCTATTCGGCCACGAAAAGCATATATAGCAGAAATCGACTCCCGGTTCACAACTTGCTTGATGTGCAGTGTACTGGACTACTAGGGAAAGACTACCATTCGAGATATACCCACCGGTCGCCCCGGTGGTCTAGTCTAGTGGTATCCTCATAAATAAACCGCTAGTCGCAGAGGACGTGAGTTCGAATCCCCATGGGATAATAAATGTATGAAATTTTCGGGTGAAAGCGAAATACGGTATAGCTAAAAAGCTCTCGTGAGTACCAAACCTTCGACGCTAACACCACCGTTAATAGGACGAAAACACACACACCGTAAATAGAACGGAATGTGGTGGAGTCATTGCATGTTATTACTCTGAGGTGTCGCACAAATCTACATATTACGAGGGATTGTTCTCTAGACGTTGTACATATTCTGATTTTTCCAAATAATATCGCCAAACAGCGAGAGAGGCCGGAGGAGGAATAATTGTCCCATAAACTTGACGTCACAAGATGATCATGTCGTACCCGCCGCCTCCTATTTTCTCCCATCTCCGATTATTTAATTCTGATCTAGTGCAGCACCACATACAGTAGAGGTCCCTGTTTAGTGCCGGTTGTTGCCGTTATAGTGCCGGTGTTTTCGGCTCGCACACACTGGAATACCAAGTCGTTCTGTACTTCGAATAGTCCCGGTGTCCGGTTTGTGCCGGTGAAATTTCGGCGCACACGCCGGCACTATATAGGGACCTCTACTGTACACAGTACACAAAAAAAAAAGCCCACGTCGTAGGGCCCCGGACAAATACTACACCGATTCTGTCTCCGCACGGCCCCAGAAAAACTACTCCTCCAATCAGTCTCCACCTGACAGGCGCATTCATCGCGGGGGGGAGAATCAGGTGGGCAGTACGCTGCAACTTTTCATGGAGAACCTTTGTCGTTATTGTTTAGTTTGGCTTCCACTGCTGCTCTTGAAAGAAAGGTCGTTGGAATTGAAGAACGAAAATTGTAACTTAATGCACGTGCGCCCGCGCCTTTCGACGCTAAATCATTCCAAGCATTGCTGCTCCAACAGCAGTATTTGGCGAGGCATTTTGGTGTGGAGCGAACTTGGCGTGATGTCCCGCTGAAAAATCCATTCCCAGGCAAATCGCAGCGGGTGCTCCAGGTCCCGGCCGTGGTATCGTCGACGAACAATCGTTCGTTGTCGTTTCAAGCAGTTCTTTTTGTGTAGATGCACGGACAGAGCTGCATCGTTTCGATCATGGTGACACTCGCTTGAACCGGCCGAAACGTTTTTTTTTTTGTTGTGTGGTGGATGGGGCAGAGTTGTCCACAAGTCCACGCGCCCTAATACAACGGTGCGCGTCAAACCGACGCGGATAAAAATAATGCCTTGATTCGGCGGATTCCCGAGAGAGTGCATCTACTCGATATGGTAGCTGACGCTAAGGAGCGCGAGGAGAGTATGGTGGTACGGTCCCTTATATGAACAACCTGACCACAGATAGCAGCATGATGACTACGTCTCCGTTGGAAGCGACGCGCTGCAAAACTCGTTGTGACTGGGCCATTTGTTACATGTCTTTTTTTATTTGTCTAGTAAACTTGATCGACTTCCTGACTAAGTCGCGAGGGAAGGGATTGCTGTACCCTTCTCGCGATACTAGATCGGGAGGTGGAATAGTTTTTTGTTGAAAAACGTACCGTGCGTTGCTACCATTGGCCCGTTTGCTACTACACAGCAGTATTACAATATAGTAATTGAGGTGTGCGTGTGGTGTGCGAGGCTATCTATCTGTGAACATACATCCGACAATCCGTTGGCGCTACCCAGATAATGCGGCC